ACTCTGCTCACCTATAAACTGACATATCTCGCGAAGTAGCAGCTTTACGTTCATCGCTTCCTCAAATTTCGTTGTGTCTTTCGGTGTGTTCGCCAGGCATTTCTCCAGCGTGTCCAGGACGATGATGATGGACTCCTGCCGGTCCTGATCCTTGGGTTGGTACGGCCGCTGACTGCTCGCGCTTGGTGTCATCTCGTTGACCCGCTGCAGCATCTTCGTGAGACCAGATATGACGAGAGAGAAACGGTACCGGGAGATCTCTATCAGGCATTTCTTGCTCCTCTTTTCGTTCACCCGAGAGTGAGGACTTTCGGGGCCAGAACGACATGGCAGCTGCGGACAGATCGAAGGGGAGATTCTCTTATAAAGGACGACGATAAACAAAGACACGACATAATCGAAACAAATGGAGAAATGAAGAAGATATACAAAGCATGTGCAGAGAGGGATGATGTCGGTGGATGAATTTGCTCGCCTCCCGCGGGCACGGTGATTATTAGACTGGGAAGGAGGCGCGAGTGAAGGAGGCGTCAAGGGTGAATTGTGACAGCCCTCGAAATAATGGTGGCGACAAATTGCCTCGACACATCGGGAAACGAACAATTTGTACGCTCGCGCGGCTCGATCGATTCCGGTTTTATTCTCTTTTGTCTACGACGTATTCGGGCAACGGCAGCGCGCGACTGAGCTGTGCGTAAGGGGGAATGCAACTTCCATTCATGGATATCCATCCCCATTCATCGATTCGTACCAAATATACGAACTGTAAGAGAATTCGCTTCTTCCACGGCTTTTTTTTTTTTTACAAAGATATACGAACAAGAGCGTGGAATCTCGTCCTAAAATTTACTCGTTTCGCGACTCGAAATTTGAAAAATTTGTTACCTACCTAAAAACAAAGTCGAGATTTTCAGATCGAGCGAGATCAATTAGGATAATTTAGAATTAAGATAAGGGCATTGTTCCGACGATCGTTCATGGTCATTGATCATTAATGCGACGGGTGAAAAAAAAAAAAAAAGTCTCTGAGAATCGTAGGCCATTCGTCGATTTTAGTACCTTAAGATCCAGTCTTAAAATAAGAACGAATTACAAACACCAGCCCTAGAATCGCACGAGTTTACCGATATTTACACCTCGCACCCCCTAATAGATACGTCACTGTGTACACCTTGATCGAGCTGCTCTCACGGCGAGGTTGACTGGAGGCGGAGGGGGCGAAGGTCAAACCGCACGAGGGGTGCCGGAAGGGGGAGGGGCCATCTTTGCAAGAATGCATCTTTTCATGAATGAACGAATCAAGGAGGGAAGGACCGACATCGTATTCTCGGCTCGGGCCAATCCCCCCCCCTGCCTCCCCCACTTTATCGATACGAGCCCGAAACGCACCACCGTTCGACGGTGATTACGGACATCCGACTTTCCGATGATAAATCGGCGATTCTATTTGAAATTCATTCTATTCAATCCTTTCGTCCTGTGCCGCACGTCGGATCGAGGAATGATCGTACGATAGTTTAATGAAAAAAAAAAGAAGACACGCGATATGTTAGACTGAGAATTGGAGTGAACGGGATATTTATAAGTCGATGCATTTTATAGGTCTATGGCAACTTTTATGGGTAACATCGAAATCTACATAGGTGAATCCTGATTTATTTCTAAATTTCAGCAGGATTTCGAATGCCACTCTCTTACAGTCATAACGGACTTCTGGTTCGACTATGAAAAATTTATCTGCTCGATCTCGACTTCCGATGACGAGATCCGATTTTCTCGTTCCGTCTATAAAATCGCAACACGATATTTTATACGTGTCCTCTGCGAATGAAATACAAAGCAAATTTCGGAGTTTTTCGGAAAAATTTGTATCTCGAGATTGATCGTAGTAACTTTCAGTCCTCTACATTCCCTAGCGTTTCGGACAATAGTTTTAACAATACTTAAAAACTAAAAAAAAAAAAAAAAAAAAGTTAAAAACAATCATCAGAGATTCAGCTGTTGTGAATATTTGGAAGATCGCGAGCGTGATCTCTAAATAATCTCTAAATTGTAGACCATTCCTAAACAAGGTGGTAGATTAATCGTCAAGGTCGAAATTGCTTGCGTTTCTTGTGCCGAGTTCCACAACGTATACATGTATACAGCCACGATTCTCGAATTCGAACTTGGCCCGTTTCAATCGAATCCCGACTGATTCATGGGGATTTCATGGGATCGGCCGTCAGGCCCATCCTGGCAGTCGTTGATCTAGAAGAGCTATTGGCCCACCCCAGAAAAATCTATCATCCAGCGCATCGCAACGAAGAGCGAGAGAACTCGAAATTCGATACCCGGTGAACGCGAGGCGCGAGTACGGCGGGAACGGCGAAGCCGATGGTATCGGCGTGGCCCCAGGACGCACCCATGAAAGGCGTCGACGAGGAATCGACGGCGAGTACCGTGGGATGCATCGTGTGACATTAGAGGAGGAAGAGGGGAAGGAGGAAAAAGAGGAGAAGGAGGAGGAGGAGGAGGTGGCCGCACACCGGAAGAGGGTAGCGAGAGGAGCGAGGCGGGCCGAGAGGGAGGGAAAGGGCGAGCACGAAAGGAAACGGGACCAGGGGAATGGAGAACAAGAGAAAAAAAACCCGAGACTCCTCGCGCCGGAGCATCGTCACTCGCGCACCTGATCCTCAAAACGCGCGAGCACCAAATTCGCCCATTCCCCGGGCTTTTGCGTCCCCATCTCCGAGGTTCACTGACAGGCCGTTACCACGTACCACGAATCGCCAGCTCGCTGCACGAGCCGCGACCTTACGTCATCATTTACGAACGTCGACTGAAGGACCACCACCGCGGCGGATTCGCGAATCGCCCCCGATGGGAGGGGCACCTGCGATGGTAGAACAGCGGAGATGGCCGAGCGCGGCCGGAGATGTACGATCGCATTTTGCCGATCCACCAATCGCGCGCTACGTGCTCAGAAGCGTAACGACAAATCCGAGAACTCGAGCGCATCTTTGAAAAAAATTTTTTTATCTCTTTTTTTTTTTTTTTTAAATAAAAAAGAAGAGAAATAAAAAATTAAAAATAATTAATTGTGATACGAATGTGTTTTTAAAAACACATTATTATTATTGCAATCGACAGTAATCTGATGTTTCATATTACATGTTTCGTTCGTAATTTTTTACTTACTTGACATTAAAATATATTTCTTTTTACACTTTACATTTTTACAATTCTGTTATATTATGTCAATTATATTATATGAACGATAAAATTTCTAATTTGTTGAAGAGCTTTACATCTGATTGTATTTGACCGACTTATTGAGGGTCCGATAGAAGACAGTAGTTTTGTTTTATACAGCCCTGGTTCGGTCAACGCTGATGCATGCTCGCCCCACCTTGCCACCACGTCATTCATAACTGTGCAACGCGGCCTTGTACCCGGGACAATTGCTCGTACGAAAATTCGATCAAGTCGGTGCGATATTGCAACGTGGATGTCCTCCGATATATCCGATTCTTTCTTCTACATTGGTCGATATATTTTTAAAAAAATCACAATATTTATAATCTTCACTGAATTCATATATATGGTAATTTTTTTAAACTAATGCATCATTTAATTTTACACATATTTTATTTTATTTTTTTTTTACAAAAATAGTTATTAAATAACACATATTGTACAACCAAGTCTAAGAGAAATAAATATGAAAGATGAAGTAAAACATTTATTTCATAGTTTGAACTAATATCACAATATAGTCACCCGCACTACCAAATCAATATATGGTCTTGAGATATTTAGATATTCATGCGATTTTAAATAATTTTTGTTTTCTTAATTGTTTCTTATCTTTGGCTATTTAAAGTGTATTTTGAAATATATCAATACTGAAAATCTATATTTTACAATACATGAGCTATAGATTTTCAATATTACGAGCACATTTTAAACGCATTCTTAACCTTTTCGAAATATTCTTTCTTTCTAACCAATTGCATGCAATTTTAAAATGAGATAAATGAGATTTCCTTTTAGATCAAGCTAAGTAATTTATAAAAGTGTATATAAAACAAAGAAATTTATTTGAAATATTAAACGTATTGATCTCAATTCTATGTAATAAAGACTTGTATAGCTCTTTTTGTTTTAAATAAATTATAAATAATTTAATGATAAAATAAATATATTCTCTTTAACATTTACACATTTTAAAATGACAACAAACTAACTGCTTTCATCAATCGATAAATTATATGCAGTCTTCCATAAGATATAATTACAAATTTGTGCTATATGCTGTGCTATATGCTGTGTACTTATCGGATATTTTATTTCGCTATTTTTAATTTAAGAAAGAAAAACATCAACAAGCTAATGATTAAACAACATGCTAACTTAATTTCTCTACTCAGTCTTTTGACATGAGATCCTCATACACATAGCAAACTAATTATCTTAAATCAAATATATTCATATTATCAGCTTTAGCATGTTTCTATTCTTTCTTTCTACATAAATCTCTTATCTCATTTCATTGAAAAATCAATGCAATTACAATATCTAATAGATACATTTTTGAGCATTAGTATTAAATTATAAAACAGTTCGCAAACAATTTTTCATATCAACAAGTTCTTTTTCTATTCGTCGTCTGTCAATTTTAAAACTGTAAAAATAGTATTAAAACATATATTCGTTCGTTGAATCATATGCACACATAATCTAGTATATTAAGCACGCGGAAGCGAAATGTTTAATTTAACACACTGATTGATGAATGATAACATCAATATCCTTCTTACGAATGCCATAAAAATATATCAGTATAAGAAACGGTATGCCTCATAATCGGTAAGCGTATCATCAATTAAGTATACACACGCACACTTGCTTTGTTCTAAATAGATGCCTTATCGTATAAATACAGTATCGTTACATTAGCATCGCTTTTCTCTCCTGAGCAATTATCTAGTAAAAAGAATCTCTTCTTCTAGCAAAGAAATCACAGAATCAAAAATATTCACATCTCGTTGTTGATGCTTTTTGATGGAATGAACGCTTTTTGAATCTAAATCTGAAACTTTGACGCTACTTAAAAAGTAATGTTGCTCCGAAAGCTTGAATGTATTTGCCACAGGCACTCTTGATGCGTCTTCCCTATAAAAAGATAAGATTACTGAAGCTGATTACTGAAGCTTAACACATTTCAATTAGTGCATTTAATATAATGCGAAAATAATAGTTGCTTCACACATTTCAGATTGTAATAAATGACTCATGTTAAACATTTATGAATTATATGTTTTATGAATTTAATTATAATAACTGAATGAAATGATCATATATAATCAGATAAATAAAGTACTTGCTCGCTGCAGCGTTGCATGTATTGGGCAACTATTATACAGTTTAAACAATGACTATAGAGAATAATTAGAAAGCGCATTTCCTTTTATTTCCTTTTATAGCACTATTACATTAAATCAATTTTATCACTAACTTTGCTATTGTTATAAATCTATACTATTCTCAGCGCTTTAAACATACAATGAAAATACAGATCACTGTTCCGAACAATATACTTACGGATGCAATTCGCGGAAGGTCATTAATATGGAGCAATCTCTGGCCGTGACAAATAAAAGGTAATTTTGTAACGCTGACAAATGTTCGGCAGTAATCTGTACATTTGCCTTTCGCTCGTCATCATCGTTGCTGACTCTCTTGTTTCCATAAAATGATTGGCGCGAATCTGGATTGGGATTAATTTCTGTTTGCGATATAAGATCACCGTTCACAAGCATTTCGTCGGTATTAGTAGATAGAATAGACTCTAAACTGACATCATAATAAAATCCATTGAAATCGTCATCGTATTCTTGTGTAATACTGCTCTTAAGTATTTGACAATCTATCTCCTTCGTGGTCTGCATCATCTGAACGATTGTATTCTGGAACAAAGAGAAAGACGAGTATTCTCTAATACATATTCATACATTTAAAAAAATTCTTCTTTCGTATATTTATGTATTATTATGTATATAAAGTCAATTAAAAATACATACCATTGATTTATCCCGTAAAGCGCGAAAGACATTACAAGTCTTATTCAATTTGGTCAAGTTTGAGTATATCATATCGTCATTCAGTAACGATGCAAACTTGGAGTAAATACTGTAAATATAATTGGTGTTCACGAAAGACAGTCGCTGCATATTCCAGATTCGCTCCAGCACCGAGTTTTTCGGTAAGTCGCTGCCATTAAAATTGCATTTCTACGAGACCAAAAAAAAAAACAAAATGATTAACATCATTTATATAATATTTTCATATATATATATACATATATTATTTTCAGTAAACGATCATTTCTAAGACGAGTAATTACTTTTCCCGCGAGTTGAAGACACCATTCAGCTTTCGCTACCACATTCGGAGTGGCACAAAATGTCGAAACCTGATTCGCGGGAAATTTACGTGAAGTGACCGGCGGTTTCAGCTGTTCTTGGGCGATAGGTCGCGTAAGGGCAGCGCACACCAAATTGCAGAACTCGTCAACGCGGTTCTTCGTCGCCGCATTCCGAAACCATTCCTCCAGCACGCTCTCGAGATCGTTGGACGAGGACGTCTGATCGTAGACGACGAAGCCATCTTTGAAGATCTTCAAATTGTTCTGCGGTGACCTCAAAAGCTCCACTACAGCGGCTTTCATGCGCGTTTCCACCCCGGAGAACAGATCGAACGGGCAATAATTGCTACAGGCAACGATGCTTTTTCGTCGCAGCTAAAAAAATTGTTTTATTTAAATATATCATCGATAATCGTATATATGTATGTGTATAATTTGCAAAAATAATTGCAAATGATCGTTAAATACCTTGGCGTATTGATTGAGACAATACGGACATCCTGGAAATCTCTGCTCCGCCTCTTCCAGGTATCCCTGCTTCGGCTTTATCTCCACGCAGAAGGTCGAACGGCTTCGGAAGACGGTTTGATCGAGCTCCAATTGCCGGTCCAAAAACGTATAATCCGGGAACTTCATAGCGTACGTGTCCGTGATGTCGTGGTGCCGGCGTGCCTCTGCAAGAAAAATGTAAAATTCAACATCCGGTGAAACTTTCCTCGCTTATCTTCAACGCAATTTAGCTTTGCTAAACTCGGCAATAATAATAATAATAATAATAATAATAATAATAACGATAGGATATGGACGTTCACACAGTTGCGGTGCAGCGTGTAGGTATAGACGTAAAATAACACGTCCGTCCTAAAAATAAAACTACTCCTCCACCCGCCGAGCCGCGCCGAAGGGTGGTACCGAAAGACAACGCGTGTGGGCGCGAAACCGTTCTTGCGATTCACGTGATTCTGAAATAGAAGAAAGTCACGCGAGCCGCCGCCGCCGCCGCGGCGGATGTCGAAGTGCCTTTGGCGAATAGCAGACCGACTCGCGCGAATACGAGCGATATAACGAGGCCTTAGAATAGATGCCGAAAGGAGATTCGTGACTCTCGTTACTCCGCGTTTGCTCCGCGATAAAACGCTGCGCTGCGCGTTCGCGGCGGGAAAACGCGGCGATTTAGAGGCCTTAAATCGCAACAAGTGCCGATTCGCCGGACGGCAAACAGGTGATTAACGGTGACTAGCAAGGCGCGAGAGACACTCGCGGATACTTTCTCGGCAATTAGAAAAAGATATATACAAATGTCATAAAAAGCGTGGAATTCAAACGCCGCGTGTCTCCCGCCGCGTTTAGCGTTTTATCTCTCGTGTAGTAACTTTCATAGATAACTGGCGGATAGCGCACAATATTGGAATAATGCCGATCATGAATCAAAATGTTCTCCGCGGCAATGTGTGTTCT